ACTTCCTTTACCTCTTTGTTAGGCGCTCTATAGGAGAACTTGCTCCCTTTCTTGGCTTCATCTCTGTCCCTGAATCTTTGAGGCTCATGAACGGGTGGATTCTTGACTCCGCTTGCAGACATGCTTAACTCCATATCATGTGCGCGAGTGGCCAACTCTTCAAACGACCTTGGTTGAATTCCTTGTAGAATGTATCAGAGACCCCAATGCATCTCTTGAGTACACATTTCAATATCCGAAACTTCAGACAATCGATCCTTCCAATTGAGGCTTAGATTTCTCCATCGGTTGATGTAGTCAATAACATGCTCTTCATCCCACTGCTTTGAATGAGTGAGCTCAATCATGTTGACCGTCCTTCGTGTGCTATAGAAGCGATTGAGAAACTCTTGCTCTAGATGCTCCCAGCTATCAATAGAATTTTCCTCCAAGTTGGTGTACCACTCGAATGCATTTCCCTTCAGTGACCGAACAATCTGCTTCACCAGACGATCTTCATATGTACCAACATCATTTCAAGTCTTAATGAAGTGAGCTATGTGCTGCTTCGGGCTACCTTTACCATCGAACTGTTGGAATTTCGGTGGTTGATATCCAGTAGGCATCTTCAAGCTATCAATCCTTTGGGTGTATGGCTTCGAGTAAGTCAAAGATGACTTGAAGCCTCCATCGAATTTGTCCTTGATGGTTCCCATGATGAATTCTTTGAGTTGGTCAACTGGTATGTGTCTACTTGAAGAAACATGGATTTCGGACAAAGGCTTCTCATTTTCAGTTTGTTTCACCTCATCTTCTTCATAAGTTTCTTCATCCTCATGCGTTTCACCTTGCTTGCCCCCAGCACGACTAGTCTCGGCTTTGTCAACCCTTTCTAGAAACTTTAAAATTGTGGAGTCTTGATCTTGGACATGTTTCATCAGCGTCTCCATTGTTTTTGCCATGGCTGCAAGTTGCTTTTCAATGGTTGATGCATTCGTCATCATAACATGTGCCTCCATTGAGAAAGGTGTTGATGAAGCATCGTCTCTCAAATCTTCCTCTTGGTTTATCAAAGGCGTCCGATTTTCCTCAACTTGGTGAGAATTTCCTTCCAGAGATACATTCTTGTTTTTTGCCATGCTTCTTGTTACGACACCAACACTTTCACTTGCAAAACTTGAAAAAGTTAACTTGGGAGGAGTCATCTTTGCACTTATATATGTTGAAGAAAAGAGATAGAGAGGTAGAGATGGTCCCACTGGGCATGCCAAAAATTTGTAACGCAAAATTTCGTATTATTGAATTAATATACACAAGAAATTCGTACAAATGGATTTTTAACGGATCAAATGAAATATAGTTGATTACAAATCTCTATTATTCCTCTGATTAATTTCTTCAAGAATAATCTACAAATGAATTTGAGACTTTTGGAGACGACTCTTCAGTTTGATCTCCGCCGGTCTTGAATATGGATTTAAATAACGTTTCTTCGAGGGCTAGACAGCTTGATCTCGAATCGAACGTTTTGATTTCCCAATAACGTGAAGAACACGAGTCCTTGTTCTTCGCCGCAAAGTTGATTTTGATCTTCTCTACGTTGGTCTTGACTTTAATAATGTAATTCGGAGGCTTGACAGCTTGTTTCCTGATTGAACGTCAGTTTTGGGCTTGAACGTGCTTGAATCTTTCTTCAAATCTTTAAGAACGCCTTTGAATATTCAAAACACTTTGACTTTAATAACGCAATTCGGAGGCTTGGCAGCTTGTTTCCGAATTGAACGTCGGTCTTGGACTTGAACGCGCTTGAATCTTCCTTTGGATCTTCAAGCAAGCCTTTGAATCTTCAAGAACACTTGAATCTTGTGTAGAGAATTCTCTAGAGCTCTTGAATTTGAAACTTGAATATCAATTGTGATTTTTCACCTTAAGGAGAACCCCTATTTATAGGTGTTGGGAGAGAGAGTGTTGGAAAAGAAGACTTCAATTTGATTGGCCCATAATTTACAATATTTATCTCTTAATAATTATTTAAAGAGATAATTAGGAGAGAGAGTTTTGGAAAAGAAGACTTCAATTTGATTGGTCTATGAATTTCCATTTATTTATCTCTTTAATAATTATTAAAAGAAATAAATATTTATTTTACTCTCCAAGAAAATGACATGTGGCATTCTTTAATTGGCCTTCAAAATATATATGTGGCATTCTTTAATTGTCCAACAATATATGTTAAATAATTAATTAATTAACTATTTAATTTAGAAATTAAAATTTGATTAATTTTCCAAATAAAATAGAAAATTGTTAAATTGATTTTGACATGAAATTTGACACTTGTAGCCATTTTATTGGCACAAAATTTGCTTGTCTACAGGGTTTTTTGCAACAGCACTCTCCAAATTTGGTGATTAAATAACTGCGTCGATCTTGTTGACCTCTGTGACCTCCCGAGTAAGGAGGAAGTTAGGGAGGCTGTGTTTGGGATAGATCCCAACAGCGTCTCTGGACCGGATGGTTTTTCATCCCTCTTCTTCCAGTCTTGCTGGGAGATTGTGGGTACTGACGTTGAGGAAGCTGTGAAGGATTTTTTCTCTGGCCACCAGATGCCAGAGTCCTTCACGGCAACCTCCATTATTTTGATCCCGAAGAGATCGGGTCCTAATTCTTGGTCTGACTATAGACCTATCAGCTTATGCAACGTGACTGACAAGATCATTTCTAGAATCCTTAACGGCCGCCTCGCCCCTCTCCTCCCCCACTTTATCTCTCCGAACTAGAGTGGATTCATCAAGGATCGAGTCATTAGTGAAAATATCCTATTGGCTCAGGAGATGATCCACGATATCTCTCATGCGAATCGAACACGAATCCCGAACCTCGTGCTGAAGCTAGACATGGCCAAAGCATATGATAGGGTCGAGTGGTCGTTTCTCAGAGAGGTACTGTTTTGGATGGGATTCCCTGACCGTTTGATTAGCTTTGTGGAGGCATGTGTGGAGCACTGCACATTCTCCGTTTTGATTAATGGTAGCCCTACGACATTTTTCTCTTCTACCCGAGGCCTTCGTCAAGGAGACCCTTTATCCCCCTCCCTGTTATTTCTGGTGGCTGACTATCTCTCTCGCTGCCTTGACGGCTTCATCCGAGATTTTCCGAGGATGACCTACAGCACGCGTGGCTGTGGGCCTTCCATCTCCCACCTTTCTTACGCGGATGACATTATCATTTTCACTCGTGCGAATGATAATGGGCTAGTTGCTCTCAGGAGTCTTTTGGACCACTACAGTGAGACATCTGGCCAGCTAGTCAATATTAGTAAGAGTACCTTTATCATGGACCATCACGTTGCAGATCATTGGGCTCACGAAATTCACGAGCGCACTGGGTTTGCTCGTGAGGATTTACCCATCCCTTATCTTGGGGTCCCCTTGTACAAAGGCCATCTTTCCCATGAGCTTTTCATTGACGTCCGTCAGAGGATGATTGACCGGATATCTAGTTGGTCACATAGACATCTATCCTTCGGAGGCCGACTTGCTCTGATAAAGAGCACTCTTTGTGCCCTTCCTCTTCACCTTCTCGCGGTGCTTGACCCCCACCAGTCTACGATCCATGAGTTAGATCAGATTTTAGCCCGCTATTTTTGGAGCTATGGCGAGGGCTCGCGAGGTCGGCGGCAGACCCACTGGGTGAAGTGGGACTCTATCTATCGCCTCCACTCGAAGGGTGGGCTCGGGATTCGACGTTTCACTGATATGGTTACTGCGTTTTCCTACAGGATGTGGTGGCGCCTTAGGGAGGGCAAGTCCCTTTGGGCCCATTACCTCTTGAGGAAATACTGCCCTGGTGGCGCTGCTCATCCCTGCAGGGTGACAGCCACCGCTCGGGATAGTCGACAGTGGAGACGGCTCACCACTGTTGGCAGGCGTGCTCAGGAGCACATTTTTTGGACTTTGGGCTCTGGGGAGGTTAGCTTCTGGGATGAGTGGTGGTTCGGCGAGGCCTCTCTCTCGAGTACTAGGCCTGTCACTCACCTACCTTTCATGCAAGTGAAGGACCTTTGGACGGGAGGTTTTTGGGATAGAGATAAGATGGAGGATATTCTTGGTGAGAGTGGGGGTTTTAGTAGTCTAGAGATTGACCAGATCCGACAGATTCCCATTCTGGAGGGAGGTTTGGATGGTATGAGGTGGAGACTTACATCTTCGGGTGCATTCTCTACGTCATCAGCCTGGGGAGATGTGAGGCTGAGCAACCGGCCAAACCGCCTCTTCGGGGCCATATGGACCGACCTTCTCACACCGACCATTTCTGTCTTTTTGTGGCGCCTCCTATTACGACGCATTCCCATTGATACTGTGATGTAGGCGAGAGGGTTTTCCTTCCCCTCCCGCTGCCATTGTTGTGCTGAGACCGGTACCTTTGAGATCGAGACTTTCACCCATCTTTTCCTTGAGAGTGAGACTGTGAGGAGAGTGTGGGAGCACTATGCCAGATATACTCATATACCCATACCCACTACAGACTATTTTTTGAGCTTCTGAGTTTTTTCTCACATCGCACACACAGTAGACACGTGGGCTTCCTTATTCCTTGTCTGATCCTATGGGCCACCTGGACAGAAAGGAATAATGCGAAGCATAGGGATATTACCTTTTCTTGTGCTCACATTATTTTACAGGTTGACAGACACCTCTCTCTTCTCATAGCCTTGGGTAGACTCACGACGAGGGACTGGACAGGGTGTACACCGCCCCATCGTT